TAACTTTGTTAATTCTGAGAATTCTACACACTCTGTCATGAGAATGAAAAAGAGAAAAACACCGTGGAAATAAAGAGCTACCGTTGTTCAGCTTACCCATCGAACCTCTTTCGATTATCGACAAGCAATACAATAGCCTCATTGGCGCGTACAACTCGATAAGATGGCGCACGTTCGGGGAACAGAATTTTTGCGATGACTTATAGACGGTTATATACATGTATATACGCATATGATATGTATACATACCGAGTTAAGTTACATAATGCATTCTCATCTCTTTATATACATATATACACACACACAGGGAGTGAGAGAAAGAGCGGGGGAAGCGGATGCACACAATGAGGCACACACAAGAGACCATAAACTAAATATACATATAATATACGGTATAATATATATATAACCGGATGTTCGACCAACGGAAGCTTTTCCCGTGCGAAGCGGATCCGCGAAATTTTGAAAGTATCTTCTCTCAAGAGGGAAAGGTTCCTGTCGTTGAACGAATCCGATCGATTTAATGCAATTCGTTTAATGGGAAGGAAGGAAAGATATAATTGAGGATTCGATATCGTTCTTCGTGGTGTGTTTGGCACGATGCGTCGTGACCGTGTTTTGAAAGTTTTAAAAGAAAATCAATTTTTGCTACGCGGCAACCGGATATTATCGTTCGTTGCTTTAACGTGACGTACGTTGCGATTCAATGACGAATTCGATCGATCGCGAACGAAATCCCCCCCCCCCGGCGATTAATCGGCGCTGAGTTCACGCAGTGGAATTTCGCGCGGGACGATCGCGTTTCACATTTTTTTCCCTCAGTTTCTTTTACGACTTGTACATATTATTATTACGTTAGATCGAGGAAAAGCTTCCATATGTTTTAAAGAAGCAAAGTGTTGTTAAATTATATATATATATATATATATACATATACATGTATGGAAAATATCGAAGAGGTTGTTCGAACATACGCGAAATTCTTTGAGATAACACAACACATGGAACACAATCGATCGAATTCGCCGACAAAACCACTTTTATGTACCTGTTACGACTGATTATTGCGTACTATCGCCGCGAACAGTAAATATATACGTATACATTATATAGAACCTGTGTGTGCGCGTGTGTGTATATATCTATATACACCATACGGTCACCATTGTTTTGTAATTATCGTTAAATGTCATTGACTGCTTGCTATCCGCGATTTGTGATCCACCCATAATCTTATATCGGTAATCGTATGTACATATCGAGTTAACGAGCAAACAAAGAAAAAGAGAAAAGAAAAATACGAAAAAAACATAGAGGGGGGATAAAATGCAAGGTTATAAAGGTTGAAGCGTGTGAAGTGCGGTGGCGAAGCGAGACGCGAGAGAGCAAGCATTACGAACCGTTATTATTCGGCCGACGCATCGTGGGCTTTTTCGTTTTTTCCACGTGCGCGAGTGAAACTGCCTTCCAGAATATACGGATACGGTCAGTCGGACGGCATACTGTGGAAAGAAGCAAAAGTTGTAACGGAACAGGGGTAAATCGATCGCGAGGAATGTATCGTGGCGAGAAAGGTTGGACGAGCAAGAAGGACGCGCGAAGTCGCGATTTTAACCAATTCTTCCAGGGAAATCGTAGCCTTAGACTTCGTTTCTCTCGTCAGTTTTATGCGACGATCGTTCGACGGATACACCTGTTCACATTCTATGCTCGAAAGAGAAAAGAAAGAATGCGAAGTACGTAGCGGCAGGAGCGAACATTACAAGACGAAGTAACGCGAATTATGTCACTTGAAGTATGTTGCGTATGATTTTATGGTTATGCTGGATGTTTACTATGGAAATTGTCTATCTATCGTTACTCGTGTATCGACAGATCGATCGTTGCGAGTGTCCCGTGGATTTTGGACGAGTTCATTCCAGATGTAGATTGTCAAAGGTGTATCCGCCGGGTGTGCACAAAAACACTGCATGAACCGTAATCGAACTTATATTTGCGGCATTCGAAGAATGGCATTCAACGATAAAAACTGTACATACGCACGTTTACTATTATCTATTTACTATTACGAGAAATCTTATTCCTAAGATCTTCGACTGTACGACTTTATCGAAAATGAGAATAATTCTGGTGAAGGAAACGACAACAGCATCAACATGGAAAAAAAAAACAACAAGAACAAGAACAACAACAAAAGCGAACTGCATTGCATACATTGTTTAGGCGCCATTGTGAACTCTATCCCTTCTTACGAAATAAGCATAATTATATTTGTTTATATATACATATACATGACAAACATACGTATAGAAGCATTACGACTATTATTATCATTAATTACTATTATTCTTATTATTATTGCCATTACGATGATTATCATTAATTATTAAATATGGCCACCATCTATTGTTATGATTATTATCAGTAAAAAAGGAGAAAAAAAACGATGAAGGTACGACGGATAATTGCTAAAAATTAAATGAAAGATCTTACTTATACATAATTATAAATACGTCATGATGACATATTCATAACAATTAATTATTACGATAACGTAATGACATTATTATTATTACTATTATAAATAACACCCTATTCCCATTTGTTGTGAATGTTTACGTTGTTTTATGATATTCAGAATATTCTAAAAATAAAGTCTATAATTTCCACGAATGTCAGCGTTTCTTCCTCCTCCTTCCCAATTGTCTCAAATTATTTA